TCGGAGATTCATTCAAGAAATTTTCTACAAAACCTTTAAAATTTCTGAGTTTGAAAAGTCATAAATTTGCAGGAAAAGAATCAAAGACTTTTAGATCAGTCTCAGAAAAGAAAAAAAAAACAAAAAACAGGAAATTTCTGAGCTCCAAAGTTAAAAAAATTCAAGTTTTTTTTCCTAGCGCTTCTTGCCATAAATGTACTGCAGCCTCTCAAACAAACCCAGAGCCGTTGTTCAGTAAATGCGATGTCATGTTTATTATTCGTTGACAGTCTGAGGTTAGTTCACCAGCTTACATACAGCGCACAATGCAACAAGCTAGTTAGTTAGCACATCTCAGTATTGCAGCGATTTCTCCTCCTGCCGTCACATTTCCTCTCAGTCCGGTCCGGTCCGAGTCCCGCTGAAGGTTCCCGGTTCCGGCTGGTTCTGGACGGAACCAGGAGAGCCGGAACATCTGAGCTGCTTCATCGCAAAACATCTGCAAACATCTCAGGCAAGTCCGTTAAAACTCTCTGCTCCGGAACCAGCGACGGCGCAGGGCCATCGGAGAAAGGAAAGAAAAGGAGTACATTTCTGTCAAAAAAATCTCAGAAAGTTTCTATGAAAAGCAAACAAAAGACTAAAATTTACAGCTTATGAAACTCAGAAGTTTCCCCTAAAAATTTCAGAAAAAAACAAGGAAATATTTGAGCTCCAAAAGTAAAAAAAAAAAATTAAAAATTGATTAAAGAAAATTTGAGATTAATTCCAGACAATTTGTAGAAATTTTTATTCTCAATTTCAAACTGCGAAAATTTTGGAACTCAGAAATTTCCTTGTTTTCTAGAATTTTTTCTGAGATTAATCTCAAAATTTGACATTTGTTTCTGCAATTTTTGACTTCTCAAAGTAAGAAATGTTCTTGTTTTTTTCTCAAATGCTGTAGTTCTTTGTAGACTTTTTTTTGACTCAAAAATCTGAGATTAATCTGAACATTTCTGAGTTTTTTTGGCAGACATTTACTCCATTTTTCTACGTCCGTTTGAACGTCACATTTAATCATCTGTATTTCTGCTGCGTCTCTAAGCTCTACAGGAAACAGGAAGAGGGTTGAAATTCCTAATTTTCTTCTCTACAGGATCTGGAGCTACTAAGTGACACGAGGGTAAAGGTCAACAGCAGACGGTGGGTGGGACGTCTGGACGTTACAAACGCTCAAAATCAAACACGTCAATAGATAATAAAAACAATTTGGTTATTTTATAAAACAAGCTGTATAAAGTAACAAAAAGAGACAATCTTAAGGTTTTATTTACATTCAGAGAAGGAAAACGTGAGATTCTTTCTGCCTGCATAATAATTTTCCCGCCTCTGCATAGGAAGCTGCGAGCTTTTTGCAACTAAAAATCACTGCAGTCAGTTAAAACTGGCGCCATCTGGTGGCCAAAGGGACTAACTACATTTTATTACAATTCGGTTAAACGTTTCCCTTTAAAAACTGAGAGGCACGTTGAAAATGTGTGAAATTAAACATTATATTGCGGGATTTATACTTTATTCTGATTACATGGTTTAGTTGCGCACTGAAGCTGCACAGAGAAGCAGAGGTTAGTACCGATTTATCCTCTCAAAACTGCATCGTTCCCAGTTCGGTCAAGAAGAAATTTAAATGCTTACATAAAAAAGTGATGATGTTTAAGTAAAAATGGATAAAAAAAAATAAATAAAAAAAACAGGATGAGGCTGAAATATTCATGGGAAGTTCAGCTAAATGCGTCATATTTGTCCTGTAATGCTCCCAGCTGCGCCAGCTTTCACTTTTTAATGGTGAAGGAGAAATTTGAAGCCGTTATATTCTGACAGAGCGATAATAATATGATTCTGTGTGAGCTCAACAGTACAAAGCTGCTAACTCCAAGCTTTACAGCAACAGTTAAAAATACGGCAGTGAAGATTCACGGCAAAAACACAAAATAATACCAAGTGTTTATAGTCCAGTTTGTAGTGCAAATAGATTAATACGCTGTAATTAAGACAAAACTAACATGAAAGTAACTTATCAGCAAGATTTAAAGCTTCTTTTAACTAAGTAATTCCTTAATATGAACAAATACTGGTTCAATTTTCTTGGAACTAGAACTTTTTCATCATTATTAATGAATTTTTTACTGAAAATAAGTTTCTAATCTTGCTGATAAGGTGCATTTAAATTAGTTTTGTCTTAATTTAGTGTAATAATCTATCTGCACTCCAAACTGGACGATAAACTCTTGGTATTATTTTGTGTTTTTGCAGAGTTGAACAGTAAAGAGTAACTCTCTGCAGAATCAGACAGTGGAATGAATTTAATGAAGATATATTTGTTTCTCTAAAGGAGCCAAATTTGTTCATTTTTCTTAAGTTAGCAGTTTTGCATCAAAAGCTGTAAACATGGAGAGTAAAACTTCCTGTGGACGTCGGAACCAGGAAGTGGAATCGGGTCTGTCTCTGCCGTTCTGCTGCAGACATGCATGTGTAGGCGGTTCTGGTTCTGGATCTAGCTGGGCCGGTTCAGGATGCCGGACATGGAGGGAGCGAAGGGCGGTGGCGGCGCGGGGTTGAGCGGGGATGCCGGGCCGGAGCTGCCATGCGGCGCGGCGGCGGAGCGGCCGCTGTACTGGCCGATGAAGGAGCCGTCCTCGTTGAACTGGATGTCCACGCTGTCCCCGTACTCGGCCAGCGAGTCTTCGCTACCCAGCTTGCTGTCGTCGCACAGGGACTGCTGGCTGTCCGAGCGCTTCTCGTCTCCGTCGCTGCGGGGAAGCAGAGCGGGAACAGCAGTTGGTGACGGCGGCGTTACGACCAGATTTCCCTGTCAACTTTTTCACATTTTGTCGCGACCACAAACTTTTAGTTTTACTTTATTTGCAGTTCTGTGGGACAGAAAGTATGGGAAACTGCTACAGCAAATGAAATTAATGAATTATTTACATATGTCTTGTGTTTTTACAAATGTAAATCTGAAAAGTGTGGTGTGCACGTGTATTTAGCCATTCTTAGATCAATACTTTTTAGGAGCATCTTTTATTGAGGTTAGAGCTGCAGTTCTCTATCAAATTTGTGAGTTGTGTTTAGTCGCTTTAATCAACTCCAGTCCAGTTTAGAAAGTCCAGTTTGTTTGGGGCGGTGTGAACGCGCAAGCTAACGCTGATCCGTCTACAAACCTTTGTCTGGGTTTGGTTGAAGTGAACTCTGGTTCAGTTTGAATGCATGTGTGAACACCAAACGAACCAGAGACCGCTACAATAGCAGGAAGTGGACTACAGCGCAGGGCATTCTAGGTAAATACAACCAAAGCT